TAATTCTAACTACAACTTACTGGCTGAGTTAAAAAGAAATGACACCACCCTTATTAATATTTCTATTATTATTATTACTATTATTATTATTACTCTCATAAACATTTTCAGTATAAGTGCACAATCCCTTGTAAAAATCTGCTCTTGGAAGGCTTGAGTAGAAAAACAAAATGCAATTAAAAATGATCACACAAAGAGAATTTTATTTAACTGGAAATTTATTTGTCACATTCATCAGCTTCGAAGCGCTAAACGGAAACACTGCTGTAAATTATTTGGTTATGAATGTGAACTATAATTCCACAAGTTCAGTGGTACTGTTTGCCCAGGGCAGAGACGACCACAGCGAGGAATGTCTGCCAGGTCATCTGGACATCAGGGGCGAAGACTTGAGGTCCAAACTTGGAGGCCACACAAAAAGCGACAATTTCAGAAAGCACCTAAAATGAAAGGGAAACAATAATAATGGCATGCTTCATCATTATCACTGGTGGAAAAAGTCTCAGATCACATACCCTGAAGTTGTCAGGATCAACACGGAGCTACTCAGAGTGCATAACGCTCAGTTTTGGCGTAGGTCTGCTTAATGTTGTCCATGTTCTTCACAGCATTTTCCAGACCAACCATCACAGTGCCACTTTGGGGTTTCTCATAATGGTAGCATTGGTGGACAAGTTGCCAAAGACTTGGAAGTATCTCTGAGTCCACTGATACACAATCAGAAGCCTGAAATAAAGAGTTTTACTTTTTCTTTTATTTCGGTTGAATTAAGTTGTTTTCTGTGGCAGATTAACAAAAACAAAACGAAAACAAACCAAAAACAAATTCTGTTATCATGCGGTAAATAACAAGGCGTGTAAAAACAAGAATAATTAATTTGGAGATACCAATAGGCGTCGTTAAATTATCATCTAACGTAACTCACCTGCTCAGGGCCTGGCTGCCAATTTCAGCCACATAAATCTTTCCCCACAGGTATGTGATCGCGCTGAGCTCAGCACCTGTCCACTCGACCATATTGTTAGAAATAAGATTTTCTCCAGCTTCGCTGAAATTAGTCTTCGTTCACAAAACATAGGTCCCTTTTGGAGGACTTTATTAATTGGCCGCTACCACCCCTCTTAGTCCGGAAGCATCTGATTGGATCAGAACCAAGGACAAAGGCTGTTAATAAGTCAGATATAATTTTTGCCAGAAGACTGGGAAAAGAACAGAAAAAAGACAAGAACATGACACATTAAAAACACCATCAACTCGACATCAATTGTTCGACGCCATTCAGTGTCGAATATTCATTTACCAATAAACCTAACTGTAAATGAATATGATAAAATGTAAGGCAGAATTTAACTGATTTTGAAGGTGTGATTTTTGCATAAGGAGAAAAGCTCAAAAACCCCAAAACATTTTCTTCATTTGTTATTTTTCTCTCAGCACCTGCACATATGAGCATCTAATATGTTCAAGTGTGTTTTTAACTCTAACTTTTTAATTTATATAGATTTTTTTTTCCCGTTCATTAGCAATTTTGCCACTTTTCCTTTAGACTGCATGCCCCTTCATACTGACATCAGTTCTTTAATGCATTCATAATTTGACGTTAGGTGTTATTTTGTATGTCTTACCTTATAAATACAGACTTATAAGGTAAGATAACACGGCGACTAAAAATACTTGAGAACAGGGTGTGGTTACTTTTATCTCTGGAAAAGGCTTGTTAAACTCGAACAGGAAGGTGTGGATTAGATTTGATACTGGGTGTGGTGCAATTTAGTTCCATATAAAGAAAGATAGTAACAAACAACTTTCAGAATTTAGTTAACTTTTCTTTCTGCTGCGTAAACCTTTAAAGGCAGACACGAGTCTCTGGAAAGGACAAAACCGTGGTCCTTCTGGGATAAAGCGACTCCGAAAGCCCCTGAGATTGGAGCAGAGGCTCTGGGCCGGTTGGTTTTCATTATTTTCTGTTTTGACGATGTGCACACATCATGCACCACATTCTATGTAATAACTTCGCTCTATCATAACTTATCACGTTTACGTTTTACAGGATGCTCACTGCATATCCGCAAACCAAGACCTACTGTTCTCACTGGGCGAGATTCTGCACAGGTGAAGATGCACGGCGCCAACATCATGGCGTCGGGAATATTGACGACCTTGTTGGAGATCTGACCAATCTAAGCAAGCTATGCTTTCAAGCAGCTCAGAGTGGACCCTGCCAACTTCACGGTAAGCTTAAGGAGGGAATGATCCATGCATTGCTCATAAGTCCATACAATTTCTCAATGAGCAAAATACTAAAAGTAATATAAAGTTATAATGTTGTTGCACAGTACACACTGCAATAGTTACAGCCTTTTGCACACGCTCTACAGTAAAATAACAAATGACAAAGTTTTACAGTTTAGAGTAAAATGTCGATCAGAGCCATTTCTTATATTTTATAAACTTTGTAATATATTGTTTTATTTAATTAGTTCAGTATGTAACTGTTATTGTCTTGAGCAACTATAACTCACACAATTCCCTTAGGGATTATTAAAGTATTCTGACTCTGAGTCTGAAATTTTATTTATTTCTCGTTATTTATGAATTAATACGTTTTCTCCATATTTATTTATTTATACAGATTCTTGCTCACAACATCATCTTGTGCATGGCCATGTTCTCCCAGGAAGACTTCACCCCTGAAGTCCACGTCTCATTTGACATGTTTCTACAGAACTTGTCTTTGGCGCTGTCCGACAGATACCGCTAAACTCCAGATTCAGGCGCACCAATCGCTGCATGGAGCGTGTCATCCGCCACACTACCAACATCCATTTTATAATAGAAGAACACAGTTACTATATGAAATTAATACATGTTTACATTTCTTTTACTTTAGTCACGGTATATACTTGTATTATTATTACTTTTAATTCTCAATAAAACAAAACTGTTTAACTTGCTCCGACAGCAGACGCCTCGGACACGCCCCTTTACTCTTTAACTTGTGAAGGGTTCCTGGTGTGTCGTCACTCATCCAACACATTAAATTAGAAATTCTGACTTCCTGTGCGCACGAGTGATTTAGGGATGATTAAAAACAGCAAGTAAAAAACATACTTCTACTTTCATAATAGGCCAAACTAAAGTAATAATTATATACGACATCAGAGTCACACTATCAATGAGGAGCTGTTATCAACGCGGGTGGGTGTGCGTAGACCATCTGATTGCTCTAGTTGGCCTTTTTCTTCTTTCGGCTGCCCTCTTTAGATGTCCCATCATGTGCCTTCATCCACGAACCTCCTCTGTGGTCCTCGTCTTTTCCTTCTGAATGGCAGCTTTCCTTAGATAAAGGAGCTCTCATGGCAAGGCAGATACTGCGGTGCACCCTAAAATAATCTCGTCGCCCCTAGTCACTGTCATAGTTTTGCACATGACAATATTGTTATTTTAAAAAAGCTAGCATTAACACTTTGATTCTAGCTACACAGAATTAACACAGAATATGAATTTCAAAATTGAATATATTTCACAGTGTCACCCCAACCCCTTCTTTGAAAAACGGTTCAGCCCATAGCAGCCCCTCTAAACTGTTTTATTTCTTGTTGTCAGTAGCTGTCGCCTATGATTGGTGCCAGAGCACATCTTGAATGAAGAGGAATTTCAGATTTCAACACAGATAGAAACACAGATGAAAATTCAATTATAACCATAATGAGGATGGCTGAGAGTCAGCATTGTTTCAAATTTTCTGAGGGGAAACAGGTAGAGGTCATAAAATACACATGAGCACTAAAGACTCGCTCACTCAACGTTGAAGTGAATATATGTGAACTAGTGTGTATTATAAATTAGTCTGTAGTTCTGTAGCCTTAATTATTTCATCAGTCTGTGTATAACACACTCTTTGATTCCCAAAAATCAAGTAGTCGTGCGAATTCCTGCCCCATCATTGGGATTCGTCTTTGGACAATGCACAGTGCGGGTGGGGTGCTACCAGTGGCGGGTTTTGATATGGGCGACATAGGAGGTTGCCCAGGGAAGCATTGTGGTGGGGGTGGCATCATGGCATCGGCAAAAAAGTTGCTCGTACCCATGCTGCCCCGACGTCATGCCAGCGCATTTTGGGGATTGCATGGGCACCGAAAATAAACCAACAAACTACGGCTGTCAACGTTAATGCCGTCTTCAGGATTAACGTGATTAAAATTTCTAACACAATTAATCCATCAGAATGACTCCAAATCCCTGAAATGATACAGACTTATAAATTGTTTTCCAAAATCTATCACACACATATACCCAAAAAGTGAGCGTGAGGTGCGCCTGCTGCTGATGCTGCTGTGCTGAAGTCTCACGGGGAGGGGGCGGGCTGCTTCCATAATATTGTCAATCCAAGCCCATTATGTATTAATTTTTATTCCTGGTTTGTGTGAAATCCAAGAAAAAAAACATATACAAGGTGTAGCTCTATTAGTTTATGTTGTGGGGTTGGGTGTTTATATTAGAGCGCAAAAATTACTGATGGAAGGTGGAAAAGAAAAGGTCAAAGCCATCAGGTCCTCAGTTTAGAAAAAAGAGAAAAGGAGACACATCCGGTCAGATGTGTCTTTGGATAATGACAGGTATTGTGTATCCTGAAACAAGATAACATTCATTAGTGGGGATTGGGAAAACTTGGGAAAACTGTTTACCTTTGTTAGCACTTGGCTATGATAGTAAACAGTAGACAGACAGTAGACACTGACACTGTGGCAGCCATAGTGACAGATCTGTGTCAGTTTTATTTTTTATTATTTTTATGCATTCATATATTTTTAAAAATAAGTTGAAGCACAAAACGCCAACCGGGTGTAACAGGTGTTTCGCATGAACTCAAAATCTTCAGCAGGGGCGGGGTGAGACGCCAACCGAGGTCACACCCTATGTAAGCTGTCATGTAAGC